GTCAACAAAAACAGCCAGAAGTCAAAGCATCATGAAACTGGATATGGAAGGTGTTTGTACTTTGTGGCAACCAGTCAAAAATGAAATCAAAACTATCAACAGATAGAGGAAAGTGACAAATGTCTTAAATTATCTGAAGCAATGCTTTAAGGAGTTTTGTAAAAGTGGAAGCAGTCTACTTCAGAATATGAAAATGATACTATAAATTATTTTTCGCTACTGTTTTGTTTAATAAGAGTTGGTTAATAAGGTCCACAACTGAATGACATTGTAGATGGCCTGCAGCTAGTCCTAATACTTAGACCAAACTGTTATGTAAAAAATTAACCCTGATCTAACCTTTTCTGTTTGTCCTTCCAGACAAGTATAAACCAGACCCCTGTGACGCTGCAGGTGCCAGGTCTAAACAGCTCAGTGACTCAGATGGGAGGCCTGCCCACCGAGGTGCTGTGTCTGATGAATATGGTGGCCCCCGAGGAGCTGCTGGATGATGAAGAATATGAGGAGATTGTGGAGGATGTCAGAGAGGAGTGCAGCAAGTACGGCCAAGTCAAGAGCATTGAGATACCTCGACCTGTGGATGGCCTGGAGGTGCCTGGGACTGGCAAGGTAGGAGCTGTTTGATTTAAGTCATCCAGAATGTGGTTTGTGGTGTTGTGGTTAAAAAAAAAATGTATCGAGTCATCAACCTAATGTGTGTTGTTGTTTGTTTTGTTTTAAATAAACATTTCTGTAGATCTTTGTGGAGTTCACGTCAGTTTTTGACTCCCAGAAGGCCATGCAGGGGCTGACAGGACGGAAGTTTGCCAACAGGGTGGTGGTGACCAAATACTGCGATCCGGACGCTTATCACCGCCGGGACTTCTGGTAGAGGAGGCAAGAAGAACGTGTTAACTTTCTTTCTTTGGGGGTGGGGGGATCGGGGGTGGTGCCATTTCCAAAATCAGACCCTTGATTTATCTGGTAGAGCGGCATTTCAGATCTAGGAGAATTGGACATTTGAATTGGAACTGGGAAAGAAAACTATGGGGAGGATTTATATACAGTCATTAACAGAGGGGGCTGGATTTGGCTGGTGGGCGAGTCAGAGTTTTGAGAAATGTGTGTAATAATAGGGTAGTGGTTTAGGGTGGGGTCAACAATTTTTATACTTTGTGAGGCAAATGTCATTTGGGGTGGGAGGGGGTGTCACACTTCAGGTTTGTATTTAAATGGAGATTGCCTGTTTTAAGTACGTTAGGACAGAGGTGCAGTAGGGAACGAACTAGAGTTGTGATTGAGAGGAGGGCTGCGCTAAATAGAAGTGCAGGGGAGATGAAGAGGAAGATGAGGGCATTTTTGTTTGACTATCTAATATAGATATACAGTAGCTGTAATGTCCACTTCATTTTTGACATCATCAGTACAAAGGCGAGGAGACTCCTTGTCCCCCCCCCCCTTTAAGTTTGAACTCATTCCTCGTGTTCCTTCATTTTCATCAGGCCACTGCCCCCCTCAGGATGATTGTTAGAGAACCTGTTGTCTAATTGGACTCTATCTGAATGCCATCTGTAATTGTTTTGATACAGTTTGTAGCTAGCTCCGCTGTTTTGAGCTGTAATATCACTTTGTATTCGGACTGCAGCATAACAGGATCAACAGACTCAATTACACCAGGTTGTTTTTATTTTTTGTTATTTCATGTCAATTCACTAAGGATAGAAATTTGACCAGCCCCGCTATCAATGATATCTGTTGGTTCATGAATGTCAGAATCTCGTGCTTTAGCCTTGTGTTACCAGTTTTCTCTTTCTTTTCCTGCAGATTGTTAAGATGTGTTGGACCCAGTCCTTTTTGTGTGTCTCACATCTTTGACAAGACCAAATAAACACGACTAATACCTATGACTCATGTTGTACCACAGTGAAACCAAAACTAGACAGCCTCTTACATTAAGATTGTTAACATCAAACCTGCTTTGGTTAAAACATAAATTGATAGGACAGTATCTTGTCCACAGTAAAGTATCAGAATGAAACTTAACACCACAGTGGCTTTTTTTTCCAGTTATTTGGGCTCCATAATAAAAATAATTAACACCCACAGACAAAGGATTATTACTATACAGTTGACTGATTTTCAGCTAATAAAATTTGTCATTTTCTGTTGAGCTTTCATAACTAGTATTTTGCTGTATGTATGGCCTTTGGGGCATTTCCACCAAATCTAAGAGGTAATTAGAAACTGTCTGCATGTACTTAAACAAGATCTGCTTTTCTCTTATCTCCCTCATCTTCTGCCGTTGTTTCTCCGAGGACCACATGTTCACACTGTACGGGCTTGAGGTGATGCTTTCATTTGATACCTTCAGTGGCTTAAGACAGCGCTGAAGAGAGACTATGTCAGTGATAACGCTTTTGAGATGTTACTCCTTACTTTTGGAAAATTAGCTTTTTTTTTCAGTGTCACTGTGTCATTTTAAGTTCTTTATTTTTCTCTCTGGAAAAAATGTGACTTCTTAAATGAGTTCAAACTTAAAAATCATCTAGTTTATAAAAGCAGAAAAGTCTTTCATTTGTCCAATTTGCTTTCAAATGTTGATTAAAAATGGAATTTACACGATGCCTTATTGTTTTGTGCTTCCTCTTATTCACACCTACATCCAAACTTCATTATGCCAAGTGATGGGTAATTTTCATTCAGTGGTTGGCATAATTTATCAAGCCTTGTATTTAATGGTAATGTCCAATCGATGGCGCTAGTTAACTTACTGACAGTTTAAGTACATAAATGCTTTTTCACTATGTCACCATTTTCAAAATATGACAAAGCATATCTAAAATGTATGTTTTAGTTTATTACTCAAGTTAATGATTTCTACTGTGAAATAGCTTTTTTTTTTTCCTACATACAAGTATCCAATAAGTCCCTTTTGTGCTTTTTCTCTTTTTATCCAAAATTTGTGGATAAAAGTTAGTTAATGATAGGATAGTTAGTTAATGCAGGTTTAAAGTCAGCAGAACAGCTGTCCAACTGACGTCAGGACAGTCTTTACCAAGCCAACCAACAAGACAAGTGTTCCAGACATAATTAGTTTTTATGTAAGATGAGGAAAAAAATGGGTTTTTGTCGCCTATGGATTATATATATATATATATATTTTTTTTTTTTCCTCTGGCTGAGAGGGTGAAAGTTAAACTCGTCCTAATCATTTGTAATAGATACTAGATACTAGTACAAACAGAAATTACGGGATTTGTGTGATTTAAACAGCTGAATGTAGCAATTATGCTTCACCAAATATGACAGAAGGAAGAAAAAAAAAATACACTTGGTATTAAAAAAAAACGTGAGGGTTCTACAGGAGACCCATGTCTCACGGATGCAGTGTGGATTGACTTGCTTGATATGAAATTCTATCTACAGCATGAGACGGGCGTGAGGCGCATACAAAAAGCTTCTAAAAACGCTTTGTGTGTTTTACAGGGAAAACACACTGGACACGGTTTTGGAAGTGTTTGCTATGTGAGTCTCACGCCGCAAATAGAATTCCATTATATCAAATGTGCCAGTCCACACTGAATCAGACGTGCGTCTCCCATAGAACATCACGTTTTTTTAATACTAAGTGTATTTTTTTTCTTCCTTCTGCTGTTTTTAGTTAAGCGTGATCTCCACAGTCAGCTGTTATATCACACAAATCCTGTTGTTTTTTGTGTTTCTACTGGTATCTATTAAGGCTGAGTTTTAACTTTCACCCACAGTAATGAGCCAGGGGGAAAATAAACAAATCAATAAAATCTAATAGTCTACATAAAAATGTGATTTTTTTTTTTCCCCTAATGATCTTACATGAAAATTTTTGTCCAGTAGATTGGCAGACAACTGTTCTGATGACATTGAAGACACAGAACACACCTCTAGTGAGAAACGTCGACACCCTGATGAAAACCAGGCAAAAAATAACCCACCCCCCCACCCACAGGTCTGTCCTCCCTGACCAACTAACCTAGGGAAAACTGCTTTGAATTGCTTAGGCATATTATCTTGTTCTTCCCCGAGCTGGAGCAGCTTGCTTTGTCAAAAAATGTTTTTTTATATTTCAGCTTCAGTAAATGTCATAAAGACTGTCCAACTGGGACCTACTCAGTAGGGTGTTTCTGTAAAACAGTTAATGAAAGCAACAAATCTCTGATATGAAGTAATGCCTTGTGTCAGCTCTATACTGCCCATCTCCATCTGCAACACTGCACCCCACTGCACAAAACACAGCCACTGAGGCATTTCGTTCCCTGAAGGTACAGATACAACAGCAGCTCTCCCAGACACTGACCCTACCTCCCCTATAGATCGAGATATTCAGGCTGCTTAGCATGAGACCTATTAAATAATATTAATAGCCCTCCTTAGGCCTGATACTGCATTGAAGATTAAAATAAAGTAAATACATGATCTCCCTCTAGTGGTGAATTTAAGACTTGATGGTCATTGTCATTCTGGGCAGTGCCTCCCCATTGATCTTCATTCTGTAAGAAAGAACACTGCAGCAGTGGGAGAGGGGAACACTGGACTCGGGTGGATGCAGTAGGATACATGTGCCAGTTTGTATTCAGCAAAAAGCATCCCATGGAAGGACGTTGGCACAGACACAGTTCTCAAAACACTGGCATCAAGATGTCAATGTTGAATGTGAACAAGTCTTTTACATGGAAGACATTTGGATAGTAGAAAAAGCACAGTTGTAAAGAATAATTTTTGAATGCAACTGCTTCAGTTTCAGGGTCCTTGTATTGATACTGTCTCACTGTCACACCTGTATAGAAGAGAGCATTATCCATGTTATTAGTAACACCTGTGCCTTTACTGCTATGACAAGTATCACTTTGATATATCATTCTCAGAAACAAGGATCAAATCATCTGCACACAAACTGCAGGTGAGTTACCAAAAAAATAGATGAAGGGGATCATATGACATATAACAAACATTGACAAACGGCACCTGCAAAGAGCTTCAGTCACAGTAAGAAGCATAAGATATCACTTGACTCATTCTCCAACCAAATATCCTATCATCAAAGCCTAGCACAATGATTTGAGATACACAAAATAACAAATGCCTGTCAGTGTAATGCAGTATAATTAAACAGCATCTTCCACAATAATCATACAGTTGAATCAGCACCTCTCGAAAACAGTTTGAACAACAACAAAATGCTATCAACTTCATGAAGATGTAGGAAGGTAGGTACGTTATTGATCCCTCAATGGGGAAATTTCAGTACCTCAAGCAGCAATAGAGAACAGACAGCATAACACCATGAGAACAAGCACTGCACACACATCCTGATAAATAAATTCCAAGTACTCAAAAATAGACAGAATCAAGTACTTGAATAATCAAGAACAGAATTTACATATGTGCATATTAACCGTGCATTTTACCCCAGGATTTGAGTATTGTACCTCAGTTGACTATTACATAGTCCGTCATACTTTCACCTAGCTTATCCCTTCAGTGATGTATTGTACAGTCTGATTTCTGTGGGGAGGAACGACCTACGGTAACGCTCCTTCTTACACTGGGGATGTAACAGTCTTGCGCTAAAGGAACTGTTCAGAGCCACCACTGTGTGGTGCAGGGGATGGGAGGGGTCGTGCATGATGGATGTTAGTTTTACCAGCATCCTTCTGTCCGCCACCTCCTCGATGGAGTCTAGGGGGCAGCCCAGGACAGACCCAGCTCTC